CTCATTTTTGCATTTATTAATCTTTGATAAAGGAACAAGTAATTAGCATCATTTTTCGAGGCATAAGTTTGCTCAAGCTTCAACATAATTTATTTCGTGGACGTGCACTCTAATAGTTCGTGATTATCTGTAGCATTAATAGTGCCCATAATTAAAGACATTCCGAATCCATCATCCCCTCTGTACTTTTCAAGAGCGGCCCCAGTTTCAGGAGGATCGTCAGTGAGCACAGAAAGAGCCCCATGAGCTTCAAGGGCATTCTTTACTGAAAAAAGCAAGAAAAGGAAATGGATTGAGGCTGGTAGTAAATACTGTTAAAAAGGAGATGGCTTATGCTAGGGAATTTAACAGCAGGATAAAAAGACTGCCCGATTCAGTGGCAAGAAGGCCTTAAAATGAGAAGTCCATGACTTGGAAGACGTTATGATAGGTCTCTTTTAAAAATACTGTTTGTTTCCATATATTTTATTGGTTGGCAGCAGGCTGGCTAATCTAGCTATGTGGCCTGCAGAAGGACTGTGCTAGCAGAGAATACGTGGCATTTGTTTCTGTGGCTGAGTGCTGATAATGAAGCAAAGTATTCGTAGTGGCAACAGATAACAGTGTTATTGTAAATACATTTTTGAAGGTATTCTTACCCTGCCCTCAATGCAAATAAACGAATGTGGGTTCATAGAACAGGCTTTGATTCACCAGTTGTCAGTAGCTGCTTCTTCAGGACACCCTTTTAAAAAATTGCCTGTCTTGTTTCAAGCTATTCAAAATAAAGAAAATGCACCGCCAGCATTTGAAACACTATCCACTGGGTCTTAAGCACGGTGTTTGAAAGAAAAGCCCCTTAATCCCTGTCGAAGTTACTTCCAAGGTACAAACAGAGACTAAGGTTAACAGAGCTGGGAAAGGGCCTCCGTGGTAAGTCACCCAGGCTTCTGTGACACATACTGGACCTGTGGTGCAGAGGCAACTGGTGCACTTCAGGGCCCCATGCTGAAAGCTCTTGGGTGCAGAAGCAGGGCTGATCTGGGTTCCCACCGATGTCAGTGCCCTAACGCAAGATTCAAGGATACAGAATGCTCACACCTTAATAGGGAGCTAAAAGGGTGGGATTTCTCTTTTAGAGGTTGAGTAGCTGCGGTGGCTCAAGTGGTTAAGACGCTGAACTGCAGGCTGTGGAAGGTCGGTAGTTCAGCAGTTCGAGACCCGGGTGCCGCATGACGGAGTGAGCTCCCGTCTCTAGTTCCAGCTCCTGCCAACCTAGCAGTTCGAAAGCAAAAAATTGCAAGTAGATAAATAGGTACCACTTCGGTGGGAAGGTAACAGCGTTCCGTGCGCCTTGGTGTTTAGTCATGCTGCCCACATGACCATGGAAATGTCTTTGGACAGCGCTGGCTCTTCGGCTTTGAAACGGAGATGAGCACCGCAACCCTAGAGTCGGACTCGACTGGCTTTCAAGCAAGGGAACCTTTACCTTTACTTTAGGGACTAGAAGAAATAACATGAGGAAATGTTGTTTCCAAGTTTGCAGAGCTGACCTTAGGTATCCACCTCCTCCTCCTCCATCGCCGTCTTCTGTTTCTGAAGCACTTATGCTTCTATTATTGACATATATTTTCCTCTTTGTATGACTGATAGTAGGATAAATTGTCTATATTTTGTCATTTAAAACAAATATCTCTTCATGTGCCTGTTTAAAGAGAGCCAGTTTGTTGTAGTGGTTAAGTGCACGGACTCTAATCTGGGAGAACCGGGTTTGATTCCCCACTCCTCCACTTGCACCTAGCTGGATGACCTTGGGCAAGCCATAGTTCTGGCATAGCTGTTCTTGAAAAAGAGCAGTTTCTGTCAGAGCTCTCTCAGCCCCACCTACCTCACAGGGTGTCTGTTGTGGGAAGGGGAAGGGGAAGGAGTTTGTAAGCTGCTCTGAGACTCCTTTGGGTAGTGAAGGGCAGGGTATAAATCCATTCTCCTCCTCCTTCCTTTGGATTTAAGGGAAAGGCCAGCGCTGACATGCTGGGGGGGGGGATGCAGGAACCCAGCTTCCCTTTGGGGTATGGCTCATTCCAGAAGGGCCGGCAGTGGCACTTTGTATCACCTTAACTCTGGGGCCTTTGGGGTGTCCCTCCCCCCATAAGCGGTTCTAGTCGAAGCTTTTGCATCCCTCGCCAATGTGGCATAGAAAGAGGAAGGCGTAAATGGAATCGACTGCTTAAATGAGTTCAGGATAGCATCCACACTAGAATGAGATATGTGGGGGGGGGGGATGGGAGATGAGTGCTGAGTGTGTTCCGGCCGCTGGAGCCTACACCAGGTTTCCTTGAAACTGATCTCTGTGACTCTTTGCAGACTCTTATTTGCAAGATGCATGGGGGATGTTTGGGGGGCCCTCAAATGTGCTTTCTCATCTTCTGACAATAGCATTGCTTGTGAAAGGGGCCTCTGTTTCAGTAAATGGGAGGCCATGGGGGGGCAGAAAGTGGACTCAGAGGAGGACTGACTCAGAGGAAGACTGCATGGGGGTGTGTAGTTTCTCAAAAGTAAGAGGGCAGGGCTCAGGCTTGCGTGGGAGTAACACCTAATCCTTGATACTGTTACGCGCACACACACACACACACATATATGAACTGTATAATTATTTCATTTTTCCCCAATGAAAAGACAGTATCTTAGATTTGTTTTTGTTTTGGGGTATTTTTAACTGAAAGTTAAGCTGAATTTGAACCACAACACATTTCAAAGGCTGGGTGTGTGTGTGTGTGCTTCAGATTACACCAGGGAGGAAGCCTTTGGGGAGGGTGATCTCAAACAGGATTTGTAGGACGCAGCCTTACCGGATGGGTAGCAACAGTAAAGAGCCAAGCAGGGAGGCCATTGGCACCACGAAGATTAGCAGCATCTATGCCAGCATAAGCTTCGGAGGGGCCTGGCCCCCGCCCAGCTGGCTTGGGAAGTGACTGGGACGGGGAGTAGGCGCCCCCCCCTTCCAGCCAGGTGCTTCTTGGGAGGGCCCTGGGAAATCCAGTCGCCCATCTCTCTCTCGCTCGCTGTGTGTTCAATCTGGCTGAGAGCGCCGCCTGGCCCCCGCCCAGCTGGCTTGGGAAGTGACTGGGACGGGGAGTAGGCGCCCCCCCCTTCCAGCCAGGTGCTTCTTGGGAGGGCCCTGGGAAATCCAGTCGCCCATCTCTCTCCCGCTCGCTGTGTGTTCAATCTGTCTGAGAGCGCCGCTAGTCCGCGGGAAAGCCGTCTAGTATCTCTTCCCCCCCCCCTCCCGGTTTAAGGCGCGGCGGGCTGCCGTCGGGGGTTAAGGCGAAGAGGAAACCGCCGCTTGCGCCCCGTCTTCCGGTGTGGGGGGGGGGGGGGGTGTTTGAGAATCCGATCCGCGTCGCAGGCGAAGAGGCCCGGGCCACTGGGATGCCAGCCTGGATCGGAAGTCGGGCTTAGCCGCCTGAGAGGGGATTAGGGCTTCCCACTGGAGCCGGGGGCCGCCGCGCTCTCCTGCGAGACTCACACCGCCTTTTAAAAGAT